CCAAATTGGAATCTTTAGAGGTTATTATAAGATAATTATTTTTACTTGGATTGAGATCGAGCATTGATTCTGCCCTTTGAGTGGATTAAACCTGAAAATGAGATTCGAGTGGTGCTTGGATCCACTTTTTATCTTCAAGCGACGCTCTATCGTAAGAGTTTTTCTTAATAATAGACCAGAAATAATGAATTTCCTCTTTTTTTTCTTCTTCTAACAACTCGAACCATTAATGATTAGGTTTTGCTTGGTTAGCTAAAAGGAGGATATCTCTAAGCCTCTCTATGAAATTATTTTTCGATAAAAGTGCTAAGCTTCCATTTTGTTTTAGAAAAAATTACTGTTTTATTTCATCCAAAATATCCCAAAACGAGTCACATAAATTTGCTTATTACTTGCTAATTTCTCTTGAAATCCCATTAGTTTTGCCATTTATCTCTTTTTATTGCATATTCAATATTAATTATATTTACTTACTAAATATTTACTAAATCGCTTTTCGTCTCCTAAAATTACTCTTTTTATTTTTTATTCATTTTTTACAAAAATTAAAAAAGTGAAGAAATCATTTTCAAAAAAATATTTTTAATCGAGAATTTACGATGTTTTATACAATCCTTTTTCCAACAGAATTGTCACTATAATATTCGGACGAATCCATGTGGTTGCGGATCCATCTTTACTTCTCCACAGGTGACTCATTGGTACTAACAGCCAGTAGAGTGAGTGACCAAAAGTGGTGAACGCAAACCATTTATTAATCAGTGGTCGTTAATTTCAACGATTAAAGTACATAAAAGTAGTAAATAAATAAAATATCTCTCTATTATTTCAAATATTTTATTTTTCAAATGTTTCAATATTTTTGGCCTTTACAATTCCATTCCATTCGAAATCCCATTTATTAATCATAAATAATTCCGTGCTCGCGACATTTTTTAAATTTCCATCTTCTCGCACTATTTCTATTTTGGTTGATTTTATTTGTTGAAAATCGTACAGATGGATTCACATGGCTTTTCCTTTTAATAAAAAACTTAGTTTGTTCGAAAAAACAGGAATTGAACCTAGTAGAAGCGACGTAGCACTCGATCACCTTGTCCAATTTTTATCGTTATTAGTTCGAGTTCGTCTTTTGCATGAGAATTTAACTTATCAGTCTACCTTTACTTATGCTAACTATTATCAGAAACTGTGAATGTGGTGTGGGAAATCGCCGCGTATAACTGCGTTTCCTAAGAGATTTTCTTATCGGTTGATTGGCAAAAGAGTGCTTGGAACATTATTGCTTTACTTTATGGATTTTGAGATTCTTATGATGAGAACTACACAAAAATTTTAGGAAGCACAATTGAAAGCGAATCTCCCGGAGTATTAAGATAGAATAGAATAGAAAGGCTTTTCGCCGATATTATTATAATGGGTTTTGAACGAATGTAATGGGATTCGTATTAGTATTGACGGAATGTAGATAGATTTGAGCAAATATTAAGGAGATGTGAGCTTTAAGAGGCTATTAACAAAGGAAGCATATTCAAGGGAAAGGGATTTATCGAGGATTTTAAAGAAGTGCAACGATTTAAGGCATCAGAAAACTCAGGTTTGAAGATGTATCAGAATTTATTTAGAGAAGGATGGCAACGAGAGGGAAGCTAACGGGAACTTAAGGTAAAGGGCAAGATAAAAGAGATGGAGATCAAACGATGGATTGAACATAGGAGCAGTGACTTCGTCGGAATTTGGATGATTGCTGAAAAAACATAGCGCGGGTCTTGGAGCTGTTTGAGAAATGCAGCATTAGAATTTTACTGCGGAGGAGATAGGAGAAAGTTTAGAGGATTCAAGATCATCCACGCTTTTTTGTTTCTAAACTGACCGCTATTTTTCTAAACACGTGAATTATTTCTCGATTCGCGGTTCCACGTTTGCTTCGTTTTACAATAATGTGGTGACGATTTAAATGATGAAATCGATCGAATTAATGAATACAAATAAAATGAAAAAAATGAAGGTAAAATATTTGGATTTTCCAAAATTTGAATATTTTTAAAGTGATTTTAATTTTTTTATTGAAAATATTGAAATATCAATGAAAATTTAAACAATTTTAAAAATTCATTTTTAAAGATAAAAACCGAGCCAAGATAATTTTACAAAAAAAAACTAATAACTTCAGTGAATGGTTTGGATTTGTGGTCACTCCGCTGGCTGTTGGTACCATTTTTGCCAGGAAGAGTACAGTCGAAGAGATAAAGCTCATCGTGGATCACAAGCGCTCTCCTAATTTTTAATTTTACAAGTTTACTTCTTTTGGAGAATCCGAACCTCTGCTTCTCGAGACGTCCGTCTGAGCATTAAACCGACCGACCACCTGACCGATCTTGTCTAGCAAATACGAGTGAATCGTGTAAAATCGTTTTTACATTTAGTTTTACTTTTATTTATTATTTCTTGCAATTTTAAAGTGATAAAAAAGTCATTGATAAAAGCAAATTGGATGTCCTCCATTTTTATCAGTTGTTATCAGTTGCGCTACTAGTTTGCTTATGATAATTTGTCATGAATTTTTAAATCACTCGCTTATATAAAATTTTTTTAACCTTTAAGAATAATTTTTGCTTTAATTTATAAAATTTATTTAATTTTTAATTGATTTTTGCTTGGTTAATTAGCGTAAATATTTTAATTAATTAGGTTTTTGTTTGTCTTGTTTTTGTTTTTTTTTTTAAATTATTTGACTTCAACTTTATTCACGCAGAATTTTATCGAAAATTGGAGCCGAAAAGCCAGAATCTGCGAAACTTTGGTGAACGATAAAGCAAAGCTTCTTCATGAATTAAGAGAATATTTCGTCAGATGGATATCTATTCGCGTACGGATTTTAAGATTTCTTGGGAAGAACTGGATCTTTGCTTGATTATGCGCCACTTTGCTGCTTATCAACTCAGTGACATTCGACCTTCGACCATATGTCGCGTCCCCCCTGTGCAAACTCATTTCATATTTAAGAAGGCAATAACTGAATGGTTCAGTCGATCGACAGTGAAATAACTCGTCTTCGTTGACAGTCATCTTCCAGTATCGGCGTTCACGTGCGCGACACGTTCTGCAAATTTTTTATATTCTTAACGATAGACAATTATAAGTATGGTTTTTATTAAGTTTGCTAATTTCGTTACAACAATTTTTATTCTCAAAACGATTTATTTAATTTTGTTCCAATTCAATTCGGAGTAACTGTTTGATTAGTTCCATGGAATTCTATTTTTCTTGATTGCTAAATCATATAAAAAGCGAATGTTCAACTGTTTCAAGCAGTCATTATTTTCGTTGGAAGAATCTTTTTTTCTTACAGATTCTTACAGTTCGGCAGTACGAATTATCTGAAGGCGCAGCACTTCAGGCGCAACACCTTGCTCCACGGCTATTTATAGGACGAGGTTTCGTCAGACTTCGAGATTTAGAGGGGAACCAATCTCTTTAGCACCAATCGAACCACTCCCTTCAAGGGACCAGAATCCGTGGTCCTCGTCATCAGCCAAGCAAAGTTGTTATCCATCTTAATATTATTAAATCCATTGCTTCGCCAATTATATTATCAGTTAGCTCCAAATAATTATTTAAACTAATTTCGCTGATTTTGGTCTTTGATCGTTTAGGCGAACAAATGTCTAAAACTTCTAATTTTCGGTCGTTCATGTTTTTTTTTTCGTGAATTTTGTTTAAGTTGTTTGATTCTCAAATAAAAGGTCACGTGGATTTCTTTTTTTTTTTCTTTATGCGAGGGTTCTTTTGAAAGAGTGAAAAAGAGAAGTTATGAAGCGTTTTAGTTGGTCGATAAAGTAAAATCGATAGAGTTATTTAAAGAATATCAATAAAATTAAAAAAGATTTTGTGTTGGATTTAATAGTTTCTTCCTCTTCTAACAGTAATTGGCACTTCTGGCTTGGATAGTTCCACAGTTCTGCTAGGTTCCGGCTTTCTGCAAGGGAGTCGCGTGGAAAGACGAATGCAAGCACCCATTCGCATTTCGCTTTTAATAACAGCTTTACTTATGGTCAGAGAGGCCAAATTCGGATCTGATGCTTGCCTGACCGCGGTCAGTTTGCCTTTCGGCTACTGCGCCCTTCTAATTATTTGAATTAAACTGGCTTAATTTGATTCAGTTTGGTTAATTTATTTCATTTATTTTGGAGTTGCGCTTTTTTATGGTTTTGAAATACGATTATATGATTTGATTTAATTGAATCAGCAAAATCGTTACAACTTTTTTATATAATCTTAGTTATTTGGAGAAGAAATATTTATGCAAAAGTGTTAAAATTTTATTCTAAGTTTTTTTGCTACCTAAATTTTGCTTTTGAAGATTTTTTAATTTTTATTTATTTTATTACTTATTTTTGTATTTAAGCGGGAGAATAGCCGAGTGGTTAGTGGTGCGGATTATTGTGTTGAGAGAGCAATTCTGCCCACTTCAGAAATATACATATTAAAAAATTCGATTGGTATTTATCGCCAAAAGCGTCCAAAATGACAAAAGTTTCCGCATTGAAGCCAGTGGAGCCATTTTTATGAATTTTCGCAGCTATCGAACAGATTGTTTCTAAATTTGTGAGAAGATAAAAGTTTTATTCGTAATTCCATTTTCGATTTTTCTTTTTATTCGTCTTCTTTCTTTTGCAAATCTATATTTTTATTTATCAGTAAATAAAACTGACGTGTCAGATAAGACGGAAGAAGCTCTTAGTTGATAGTTTAATTAGCTTTTATTAATTAATCAATTTCCTAATCCGAAATTATTTGCAAGGAAAAATAGTTCATTTCCTTAAAATCGATGGTTTTTAAATATTTCTAATATTTTTGATATTTTTTCAGTCGTTTCAGTGATTTTTATTTTCTAAATTTTTATTTATAATTTGTAGAATGATATTTTACCATTTTTTTCGTTAATGATAAGATTACATATATGATTATATTTTTATGTAGATTTGTAATATTTTAGTATGATAAACGTATCAGTTTATCGTCGTCCAATATTCGCAGCAGCCATGTATGCACAACAACCGCGTATACTTACCGTCGAAAATATGAATCCGAACGTCAAGAAAATGGAGTATGCAGTGCGAGGGCCGTTGGTTATACGAGCTGTTAATATCGAAAAAGAAATCGCAAACGTTATTTTTCCTTTTAATTTTAATTTCTATGAATGAAAATAAAATTTATAAAAATTATATGAAATTTTTGATGATATGATTATAATACAATTTAAAAAAATGAAAAAATTGGTATTATTTCGTAAATTTTTCGTATATTCAGCATCATTTTCGTTTATTTTTTTAAAGAAATTCATAAATCTTAAATTTATAACTTGGATTTTCGAGATGATTTCAGTAGAAATTCGAGGTAGAAAATTTAATTAATTAGTTAATTATGTTCATTATAAGTTAATTATTAAAAGTAAAATAAATTTTTATTTATAATTAATTAATTAACTGTATTTAATTAAGTGGTAAAAAATATTAAAATACTAATATTATATTGGAAATTAATAAAGTATTGGGAAATTTGTTTGAGAATTTACAGGTAATTGCAAAATTTGCACTAAACAAACACTAAATAAACAAAAACAAACACCGTTTTTTCACCGTTTTTCTGTTATTTTTGGTCATTTTTAGGGCACAAAAAAGCCATTCAAAAGTGTTATTAAAGCAAATATTGGTGATGCTCATGCTATGGGGCAAAGACCGATTACTTTTTTCCGTGAAGTTCATCTTACCACTTTTTTGTCATCATTTTTTGTCATTGTTTTTAAAAAATTTCTACAAGAATTTTTTTTTAATATTTCTGTGATGATAGAAATTTATTTTTAATATTATTTAATAATATTTATTAATTTTTTTTCCTAAGAGTCCACACCATTAGTGGTTAAACCTGCTCCTCTGGCTTGTCGCACTAGACAAATATACCCAGGGAGTCCCTTGGTGCTAGAAGTACAGGTGAATTGCCAGCATTACCCTGATTTTTGGATAGGTTTATTCTATGGGGAATAGAACCTCAGCATCGATGCCCCGAATTGAGCAACTGAGCCATTCTGCCCTTTTTTTGATAATTAGATTCGATCGATTTCGCATTTTTCGCTTCAATGATTTCTTTTTTGAAAAAAAAAGGGTTTATTTATCATTTTTTATATTTATATATTTGTAATGTAAACTTTATAACTATCAAAACTAATATTTATTGCATAATTTATTTGATTAATTATTAATTACATTATAACTATCAAAACTAATATTTATTGCATAATTTATTTGATTAATTATTAATTACATTATTTTTGATAGGTACTGGCTTGTGTCACCTTTCCACCTTTAATGCAAACTGGACAATTTCCAAAAGATGTAATCGATCATGCTAAAACGATTTTGAATGATTGTGGTGGTTGTAGTGTTGGTTCATATAGGTTTAGGATTTCTTTCTTTATAAATTTTTTAATCCATTCCGAAAATTGATATTGAATAATATAATAGGATTTTTTTTTCATAGAACATTTTTTTTTCATACGATTTTGCATGAAGAGAATGAGCATTTTGTAATGACTATTCTTAATAATTAGCAGGCATGAGTGGAGTAAGCAAAATGATGACTGCGAAATGCAGTGATTGCTTTTACGGTAATCAAAATATGTTTTTAGCCAAAGTGTTGGAGTAAATATTATAAGGAAACATGTTGCTGAATTCATAAGTCGCCGAGATGACATATCTTCTGATCCTGAAAATATACTTCTTTGTGGTGGTGCTTCTGATGGTATTAGAGTAAGTAATTTATAATTTTTATGAAGTGATCGTTTTCAATTTAAATTCTTGAATATAATCTCAGTTACTTTAATGTATCACTAGAAAAACATTTTCAACATATGGTGTGCTTTTCTTGTGAAGTATTTCATTTAATTTTGCTATGTAATTGGGAATTTCTTTTGTTTTATTTATAATCATGATAATCATATACCGAACAAAATTTTTTTCATTTTTTTAGAACATATTGAAACTTTTTGTCAATAAAAATTCTACAGTAAAGACTGGTGTTATGGTACCAATACCTCAATATCCTTTATATTCAGCAACTATCGAAGAATATAATCTTGGTTTAGTAAGTTTTAATTCCGTTAACTGAAACAAAAAATCTAATCATAAGTTGATAGAAATAAATTTTTTATAATTTGTGATATTTATATTTTCTTTTTAGCTCCGATCTCAGTAAAGAAAGAATCAAAATATTTTCGAATAAAATTTGTATTTTTATGATAGTTTGTTCTCATTTATCATGCCATCATATCATATCTTCATATATTTTCAAGTTTTCAGGTTGGTTATTATTTGGATGAACAAAAAAACTGGGGTATCACATTAAACGAATTGGAACGTGCCCTTACCGAGTCGAAAAAAGAGTTCGATGTGCGTGTGTTATGTATTATCAATCCTGGAAACCCTACTGGTTTGTCTATTTATTGCCCTAATTGTATTTTTGATCCATGCGAATAAACTCAGAAAGTTATTTTTTTAGCAGTTTGATTAGTTATGAATATTGAATTTAAATTTCTTCTCTTTTTTATTTATGTTCTGAACTTTAGGTCAGGTCTTATCCAAGGAAAATATCAAAGAAATAATACGGTTCGCCCATAACCATAAACTTTTTATTTTGGCAGATGAGGTATTTATTTTTTTCAGATTTAATGTTTCGTGTTTTATCAATAATTTTTCTTTTTTCTTTACTAGTTTCGAAGTCTTCCATGATTTATTTAATACATTTAGAAAGAATATAATAGTTTAATAAGTTCTAATTCCATTAAGTTCTAAGTTGATGGAAATAAATTTTTATAATTTTATAATTTGTAATATTATCTAGTGAAATATTCGATAATTTCAGGTCTATCAAGACAATATTTATGGCGATGGGTGTAAATTCCACAGTTTTAGGAAAATAATGTCAGAAATGGGACAACCTCATTCAGAGTTTGTTATTTTTCAGTGTATTAATCAAATTGCAACAAAAGGAATCCATCAAAGCTGTTTTTAAGTTAATTTCAGTTATTGCTGAGGTATATTTGTTTAATTCCTTGGCATTATTCCTGTTTATTCCTGTTTAAAAAATTTGAAAAATTCAAAAAATTATTTTTCTTTATAAAGTTGTATTTGTTTATTAAATATAATTTTCTGGTGAAATATTATAGCATATAAAACGCACTTACGTCCTGTGCTGCGCCTGAGAAAATGTTATTCGCAGTGCGTTATCCATTTAAAAACTATTGATGCCCTTACTTTGCGAAGGGGGCCAAATTCCATCTTTCCTCAACAAGATTAATTTTAGTACAATGGTGAAAGTGCATTTTAGCCTAGTATCTTTTGGACGTGAATACTAAAATAGAAAATAAAGTATAGAAAATATATTTTATTTTATTCTATTTTCTATTTTATAATAAGACCGACCGATTTTATCTCCTTTATAGGATCGAAATCGCTTCATTTTACTCGGTATCTAAAGGTTATATGGGTGAATGTGGATTACGTGGAGGTTATGTCGAAGTAGTCAATATGGATAAAGATGTTTTCGCGCATTTAAAAAAAATGTGTTCAGCAAAACTTTGTTCAACTGTTATTGGACAGGTTTTATTAATTTTTTGGCCTTCATCTATTTTATCAACTGTTAATTTATTCATTCCTTTTTATTTCTGCCATAATGAAGATTTGCTTTTATGAATACAGAAAAAGATGGAAGATATAAATTTTAAAAAGTAAAAATTTTGGTGATAAACTGTGAAATGTAGAAAATGCATTTCTATATTTTTTAAGATAGCAATGGACTGTGCTGTTAATCCTCCAAAGCAGGGTGATCCATCTTATGAACTTTGGTTCGAGGTTATATTTTAACATTTTCATTTATAAAGAATAAAAAAAAGAATAAAAAAAAGTTCTTCGACATTATTTCTTTTAAATTTTCTAAATTTCATTAAATTTTGAATAGATAATATATTAGATGAAATTTTTAAAAAGGAATAATTCAAAATTATTTTATGAGAGTTGAATAGTTAGGAATTGTTTAAGGAAAAAACGAATACAATAAAGTCTCTCAAAGAACGAGCAATGCTGGTGCAAAAGGTTTATGATTCCATTAAAGGAATAAGTTGCAATCCAATTCAAGGTGCTATGTATGCTTTCCCACAGATTATGTTGCCTGAAAAAGCCATTTTAAAAGCCAAGGTTCTATTTCTTTATTTTCGAAAACAATGATTAAAAGTGATAATAAGAAGTGATTCAGGGCTAAGTGACTCAGGGGGTTGTTGCTTAGTTCAGAGGGGCTGATGCTGACGTTCTACGCCAGGCAATAGTAGACTGTACTTTAAAAGTTGAGTCATGCTGGCGATTTAAACTCACTCAAACTTCTATCGCCATGCGACTTCTTTGGTTGGACAAGCCAATTGAACGAGTCTAATTCGATTAATAACTTTGATTATTTAAGGCATTAAATCAAGAAGCAGATTTTTTCTATGCGATGCAGTTGCTTGAATCTTGTGGAGTATGTGTCGTACCTGGAAGTGGTTTTGGTCAAAAGCCTGGCACTTACCATTTTCGGTAGATTTAAATAATTCTAATGATAAATGATTAATCACATCGATTTCATAGATGGCATTTATAGATATTTGATCATTTGAAATTTTCTATATTTCTTTTAATAGGAAAATACCGTTTTTAACATTTAAAATAACGATTTTCATTTATTCTAGCACGACGATTTTACCACAATTGCCCCTTATGAAAGAAATGATGGAACGCTTCACTGCATTTCATGAAAAATTTATGCAGGAATTTTCATAATTTTTCTCGCAATCTATCTCTTCGCTTAAACGAGTTTTTAACCGGTCGACTATAAACTTAAAAATTTAAATTTAGAAATATTTTATATTATTTGCAATGGTTGCGATTTGATTGAATAGCTGCTAAAATGATGAACCATACTTTCACTTCGAAAATTTGCTTCAGAGGTTTCAGTTTGTTTACCTTTGTGCGCTATTTCGCTTATATTCTTGTTTTTTGATTACGCTTTGAGCGCTCAATGGAGTATATTTCTGCCAATCAAAATGTTGAATGACAAATAACACTGCGATTAGCTTTAAGCTATATGGCGAAATCGCGAGTCTTTTGATTAAAAATTGCACTAATTCTGATTCAATCTTTTTAATAATAAATAGTTTTGCCTGTTATACATTGCATTACCACATTAGTTTGCACTGATGTCTCAAAACATTTGAATCATGTAAAACTTGGAATCTACAAACATACAGAGAAAATGGATACATTACATTTAGTGAACTTTTGTTTTCAAGGTTTCAGATTATAGTTTATGTAATAATGAAATTCTTATCATAATGGAAAATATATTTAATTGGAAAACCAAAAATGTGCTCACACCTAGATTGTCCTCTTCATACAAAATGCCATGGAAATGCACTGACCACTGTACTGCTAATCCTTTCAGAGGTGGTGTAATCAGTCTTTTTTACAATTATTCACAAAGATTTATACAAAGGATGATAACAATACTATTCTATATGATTGGTAATCACTAATATTATGTGTATAATAAATGCACTATGCCGATGCTGAATAATTTTCTTATACAATTTTTCAATTTTTAAAAATCAGTAAATACTCTTAAAATCTATCAAAGAACTAAGTGTTCATTATAATAGTTACAAATTTGTGCCTTTGCTTCCTGAATTTTTCTTCGATTTAAATTCCATGAACATTTTTTCACATCTAGAATTTTAAAAAATTTCGAAGAACTTCCAAATTTTCTTCCTTCAAAAAGTTGGCACCACGCATTAATCAATAAATCAGAATCTAAAAAAAATTCAATCCTTCATACCGTACTCGGCCAAAAGCTCTCAAACGAAAGAAAATTTCGGAATAACATGCAATATACTAAACTACTTACTTTTTCCACACGGAATGGCTAATTCAGCTCGAAAATGGTATAAATTTACACCCGCAAAGGATGAATAATAATAACAAATACCAATATAATACAAAATATCAAAACAAACAAAAGAAAAAAAGTAAAGAATGCTCAGATATGCAATTCAAAACATGCAAAAAAATATTAAAAAACCAGTCCTATGTGGAAGAAAAAATGGAGAATTTTGACATACTAAACATAATTATAGACAAGAATTTTTACAAATATTAGCGAATTGTTCAAATATTTAGATAAAAAATACATTAAATGGATTGAATATATTTTTACAAAGCAAATGTATAGCGGTAGAATAAAATGAAAAATGACTACAAGATTTACCATAATTTCTTTCGATTCGTTTACAATCATTAATTTATAAAGCAAACATTTATAGTACAAAAACAACAATAAAAAAGGGATATACAAGCAAATATTAAAACAAAATAAATAATATTCACAACATTTCATTTTTTTTTTTCACTGGAAAACAATAAGCGAATATGTCATGAAGAGATTAAATAAATAAACCAATATAATATGATTCCATTAAAAAGTCATTCTGAAGGTCTTAGACTTTAGAAACAAAATAATAATAAAAATCCATTCACAATCGAAATTTTCAAATAAATGTTATTTCATTTACAAATGAAAAATTAAAAGAAAGAAGTATTTATAGACTCCACTTACAGTTGAAAGTATTTAAAATATTTACCGTATGATGAAAATTTACTTCAATTTAAAAGAAGAATTTAAAAGCGCCATCAAATTCTTTTATTTGTCTATTTTGTTTTATTATTTCGACAATCGACTCCAATTTCCTGTGTTTATCACCACCGAAACATGGATTTAGATTCTCAGCAGATTCTGATACTTCAATCGTTTCATTATTACAAGTCTTTCCAATTTTGAATAGTAATGATTCTGTTTCCCATTTCTTGTTTTCAACAATGAATGGCTAAAAATACAGAATTTTGGAAATTAATACTTTTTTTGGATTTGGAAATTTGGAAATTTGGAAATTTTGGAAATTTATAAATTTAAATAATTTAAATTATTTATACACAATCGAAAAAATTCAAAATATATAAAACCGAAAATTGCGAATCACTGGATCTTTAAAACTGATATTCTTAAAAATATATAATATAAAAAATAATTGGACAAATAGTAAATAAATATAAATAAATAATAATAATTAGAGAGTTTTTCTCTATCTAAAATTTTTATAAAATTTCGAAACAAACCGAAAATGATCGTGCAATCTGTAATTTTTCAGGGAATCGCTCAAATATGAGTGGATCAGTGCTTATTGTATAATGGTATTTTGGTAGAAGTTTTTCGAATTTTGAAATTTTGGTATTATAACCTGTATCACAGAAGAACACATCCTGCAACACAGATTCGTTATACTTTTCATAAAAATTAAAATCAATAAATCGTGATCAAAAAACGAATACCGATTCGTGATAACGTGGTACTCGAGGACGACCCGCACAATACATAGTTGAGTCAAGAATTAAGCATCGGCCTACCACACAATCCAATGGCAATGTATCAAACAATGTAGTGGCGAACAACTGAAAAAAACATTCATAATAATAACAATATCAATAATACTTTGCACTTGCACAGTTTGCACACTTAGTCAAAAAACGATTTCAAGAATTTTTGCAGCAAATAGCAAAATATCTGAAAGAATTATAGAAAATCAAACAATAAAAAGCATCAATAATTAATTTAAATAATTATCAAAAATAATTACCTAAAAAAGAAAAACAAAACAACAAAAACCTCTTTTTCATGAAACATTTTGCTAGGTTCGCAATAAACCTCATGAGGACGAGCATAATAGAAGCCAAAAACCAATTTACTTCCACTTGGTGTAAGCAGTAATCTTTCAACGCGAAAACACATCAGATTTTTACGGTTAAATGCAGCTTTTTGAAAGATAGAGTCAAAGGCAGGAGGCTGATTGGAAGTGTGCACACAACTATATTCTATATCATCAGTATAGCTATTTTTCGCTGCCTCCAATATTCTTAATTCAGTCTTATGCTGGAAATAAGAAGGCCCATTATTCAATGAATAAATTAATATGACTTATAGTAATTTCGATATAAATTTAAATTTAACATAAATCTAAATCTAAACAGAAAAGGATCGACTGAAAACTGAAAAATGTTCTAAAATAACATTTATTCTTAATACTTATTACTTTTCAAGTACTTACGTTATCGTTTACTGGCCGTTGTACGTACACAGCCTCATTAATTCGCACTTGTATGTTTCGATTATTAACTAATGTTCGATAATAAATGCAACGTTTCAATTCAAGCTCTAATTTAGTTCGCAATAATATTTCAACAGTTGGCGTTCGCAGTGGTCGTTGAGAACATATTTCACAAATATATTCCTAAAATTATTATGATGATTTGCTTCGGATGGAAATTACAATATATAAAAAAAAATCCAGACCAAATATACAAAAGAAAATAAAAAATAAAAAAACCTCTGCATCTGAATTGAAGTTGGGAATACATTCACCATGTAACCAAAAATAGCATTTACCACACTGTACCATTTGGCCATCGTCATCTGGCGTACCACATATACATCTAACACAGTCAGATTCTTCATTAGCACAAATAGAATAATCAATTATATCCGGGTCATAGGAACCAACTGGTACCTAAGAATACTCAAATAAACACGTCTTCTCGAAATAAAATTTTCTGCTTGAATAAATTCTTTTATTGAATATATTTTTTAGAAAATTGGTTAATTTTTAAATCAGTAAATTAGAAAATTTTTTTTCTGTTTTTTAAATAAATGTGTGGTACTATGGTCAAAAATGCTTTATAACTCACTTGACTATCAATATATGTCAGATCTGTGGTTGCTGCCAAAATCCTTTGATACGAACTTTTCGTTCTTGGTCTCCCAAAAGGTATTAACATTCGTGGTGCTTTTGCAATTCGTGATCTTCTATCCAAATTTGAGTGTTTTTTCTTCAGATCTTGGAAAGCTTTTCGAAATGCACAAACTTTTCGTTTTCCTATATTCCTCGACTTCAGTAATTCCTCGATTTTTTCTTCCATCATAGTGATGACCTCATCGTATTTAAGCAATGAGTCTTTCATTTGATTATCAGTGGAAGTTTTCAACATTCTGATTTCCTTAGATGGAAAAATTTCAAAATTTTTCATTATAATGAAGGCACATCTGGTGAATTTCTGTAAAACTGTAGGTTCTGACTGTGACATTTCCGATCTCAAACCTAAAAAAAAAACCTGCAGATTTTCCTGCCTCTCAAAATAAAATCAAGAACTTGATAATCGAGGGAATATTTTTACCACATTTTAATATTTCAATAAAAATAGATATACAATAAATAAAAAAAGTGTAAAAAATACCCAGTTTAGGAAGAGTTTGGTGATTACCAACACATGACCTCAAATTTCGCAAAAGTAACAATTTCTTTTTTCGAATTAATTCAATTTCTTTCGCAGTTAGACTTGCCGAATCGCCAATAAAACCACAACATTTCGATGAATTACAAAGGCATTTTGAAAAATACTCAAAATCATAACTATATCTATATGATAATTCTTCCTCTTTTTTTATTGAACGTAGTGCGAATATGCCAATACGAAGGATTCCATTAATTGACCTGAAAACAACAAAAATTTACAGGTATTCAGTAGGAATTCTTAAACACAAGATATGATACTACCTTATTAGCATTTACTATTTATTATTAACATTACCAAAACAAAGAATTTTAACAAAACTTTAGAATTCATTAAACTAATCAACAAGGACACGTTAATAGAAAGGATTATCACCAAAAATTACCATCGCTGAATTTCACAGTTCGGTTTGCATGAATGGTTGATAAATCGAGATATATTTCCTCTTGACGAGGCATCAACAACAAATTCCGAGCTTAACTTCACTGCGTAATTCTTCATTCGACGATGATGCAAAAAACTGCGGTATTTTAAGAACTCTCTCATCGGAATGATTTCACCAATATATTCACATATAAACTGAAATTAAATAAATTATAAAAGCTATAATTATTATTGATTTTATACACTTTAAAATCATAATAACCATAATAAACAAAGGATTATATTTAAAAGGATTATACATCCTAAAACTCTTACTTGTCCTTTATCAATAGCGTTTAAAGTTTTAACACCAAATCCACAACCATTCGAGGTTTCAAATTTTTCTAAACTATCGATACGATCCCCACAAAATGTCGGTTTCATTCCATTGTGTGTGTTCTTTGGACAATTATTGCTGCAGTCCACAAAAAAAGAACTAAATTTAAACTCGATTACTAAAAAATACAAAACAACTCGATGAAAATTTTTCTTATCTGTAACATTAAATACCTTAAAAGTATCTGTAACATTAAATACCTTAAAAATTTTTCCTAATTATTATCAGTTATCAATTATCAGTTATTATCAATTTAAAAAAATCGAACCTTTGGCCACATTTGTCGTTATGACTGTTGCTCACTGAAGCATCACATTCCAAAACCGTGATTTTTGAACAGTCATTAATATTTTCATCTTTCAAACCTAAATAAAAAAATGAAATTCTTGAACAATGAAATCCTAAAAAATTGAAAAATTAAAAATTCAGCAAACAAATAAAATAAAAATAATATTTAGCGAATTACTTTTTTTATATCTAAAGTATTTTGTATTTCGATCTACTTCAGTAATCAGCGATGAGGAAGTGATTAAGCTGAAAATATAATAATTAGCGAATAGTGGCCGATCCTATTATACAACGAATTAAAGACAAAATTAATTTCAACACATAGCAAAATATATTGAAAACAAACTTGGAATCTTCTAGAGCTTTTACTTTCATTACTATCTTTTTTTTCTTTTTCGAAACCAGCGCTCTCCTCTCCTTCGTACAGTTCAGTTTCAAGAAATTTTTTTCGTTATCTTTTAATCTAAAAGTAAATCGTAGAAATACAAAAAAAATACAATACAATACAAAAAAATTGCCAGAAAAATAAATTATGGCGTTAATAAAAAAAAATGTATCCGCATCATTCGCTTTTATAACATTAAAATTCCTACCTTTTAGCCACTGATTTCCAATCAATTGAAAACCATGGAAGAGACCAATGAACCGGTTTACCAAGTTGAAGATGAAGATTTTGCAACTGCTTTTCAGTATCGTTCAAAACACCCATCATTCGTTTTTCCAACATATATTTCGTATTTAATCGATGCTTGTAGACAATTTTTTTTAATTGTTCTTCATTAATACAAGCTCTTTCTAAATATCTAAGAGCTTTTTCGGTATTATTACTTTTTCTTATACTCTCCATGTTATCAAATTTTCCCTTATTGAGCTCATCATTTAATGTCAATTCTTTAGTGAATTCGGATGATGATTTCTCTATATCTTCATTATGGATCTCCTCAATATTGTCCTTAATTTTGTTAACATTTTCTATCATTTCTTTCTGTAATGAATTTTCACATTGTTCTTCTTCAACACTTTTCATAAATTCTTTTTCTTCTCTTATTCCATCATATAATTCCATTTTTTTAATGCATTCATCCATAGATTTCATTTCTACGGAATCGTTTTCAAGTATCGATGTATTGTTCTGCCCATCACATTTTTCTTCTTCAGTCATTAGATGATCATCTTCTTCATCACACGATATCACCTTGTGTAGATCCATTCTGGACGGTTTATACTGATAGGTTTTTACTGAATTTTTCTTTTCCATTATATAATTGCCTTTTTGCTCTTTTATCTCATATGGTTTTGATCTAACTTTACTTCTTGAAATGTTTCTTTCACAGTCGTCCGAATTTCGACATTTTCGATTTCTTTTACGGATAAGTGTACAATTACTTCGTTTGAAATTCGATCTGTGTTCACTTTCAGCTCGATTACAATCTGTATTATCTTCTGGAACGCTCCGTTCAGTATTGTCCAATAACTGTGAATCTAGTCCAACTTTTGTCTGAATAACTGTTGCAAATTGCTTACGTTGCTCAGGGTCCATTTTTGATATTAACTGTTCAACAAGTTCAGAAACATTCATCGCTGGTGTAATTGTAACAGTGGGAATATCCTGATCACTACCAGTTTTAGATTTCGTTGAATCAACATTTGTTGCTTTTTGTATGGAATCAACCATTTTTGAATTTGTAGTTTCTGGACTTACAGGCGATAATGGTTCTAATGCATGAAAAGGTATTAAACGAGGCATATCGGAAAAATCGTTGCAATTTGTTGAAGAGCTTTTTTCTAATTCGCTAACTTCATTCATTGCCTAAAAATTCTTCCACAACATTAAACATAGAAAAAAAATGTAATAAAATTGGCTTTTAAATATTGACATTGACTCGAAAATATACAAAAAGCTGGAAACAGAAACGAAATTAAAGTTTACTTCAACTCACCACAGCTATATAAGGTGGAGCGGGAGATGGCATAGAAGGAGTAAGTGTTCGTGAACCGGGTGATCCATCAATACTTTGAATGCCGCTATCTGGACTTACCGAACAATCAGCACTACAGTTATAATTATTTTGAAATCGACAAGAATCCACCATTGGTTTAATTGATGGATTCATCTAAAATGTGAAAATATCAAATATCAAATTTTTAAAACAAATTAGCAAATTATGAAATAAATTAGCAAAAATTAAACTTAGGCTAATGTAAAAATAATTTTTCAAATTTTTTTACTTGATTAGAAAAATTTTTGCCAAGTGACAAATCTGATGAATACTGCGATGGCAACTGTTCAGATAATTCATTCGTTGAAATTTCTATTTTCTGACTATGCATATGATTATTCAAATTATTTGAAGGCATTTCCTACAAAATGACAGAAAATTAGTTTTTTTTTTCTAAATTTTTCAAGCGAACTATGGCGCAGATTAAAGAGAACTTTAATAAAAAAATCAATAGGGAATATATTCAAAAAATCACCTGTAGTAGGTCGATATCAGATTTCTTAGAAAAACTGGTAATGGAAGATATTGGTGGGAAAAAAGTATTTGCGCTAGTGCATGGAACTGTATTGCAATCATATGGGTCGCTCACCGCCATATGCGTAGTAACTGCATTAGTCTGCAATTTTAATTCAATTTAAAAAATAATTAGATAATTTAAAAAATTATCTAAACAAAATTTAAATAGGACTTCATAAAAAACAAAAAAAAATACTTGAGAAATAGAGGAATGTTCAAATGATGGATTGATAACTGTTCGCTGATTTGACTGAGGCCATGTATCAATACACTGAGACGTTGTTGCATAATTTGACGGTTGTAATCGCAGTTGTACACCACTCTGAACAACGACTTTTGGTGCCACTTGAGGTGCTACATGAACCGTTTTGGAAACAGGTAACGGTACTACATGTACCGCTTTCTGCGCATTTGTTGATGCACTTACAACCGTTGCATTTATTGCAGTAGTTGTGGCCTTAAAAGATTTAATTTCAACTTTTAAAATTGTAATTTGACTAAAATTGTAATTTAAAAACTGAAAAACTAAGAAAAATCTCTTTGATGTAACAGTCGTAAAAAAAAGAAACAGTATCAAAAACCAACAGGAAAAACAAAAAAAATTTAAAAATAAAAATAAAGAAAAATAAGATATGAACAAATAGATATAAAACTAAATAAATAAATAAAAAACTAATAAAAATAAAAACGTGCAAAAAAATATTATTTTCCATTCAGAGAAAAATTGCGAGGAAAAATTGAGAATTTTTTTCTTCTCCAAAAATTCCATACAAGTCTTTCTGCCGAAATTACAAAAATATTGTCGCAATTTTTATTTCGAGTCTAAATTAATATTTCAAAGCATAAAAAAAATTTTTCAGTTTTTTTTGCAAATTTTCTTTGTTTATTGCGAATTCCTTGACAAAAAAAGAATTAAATCATTTTACGGGTAACATAATTTGTTAAAAAAAATTTCATAATTAATTTCATATATGTACAATTTTTTTAATTTCATATATGTACAATTTCTTTTTATAAATTTCAAATTTGCGCTTTATTTTTGGCTAAGCTTGCTCCTTAGGTGTTTGCAATTTTCGCTAAGGTCACCTCGTGACGGAAATACAAATGGGTCTCCGCACCATCAAAACTTTTTAGTGATAGCTTTATTCTAGTTTAAGGAAGGGCATAAATAACGTAAATTCCTCTTTAATCAATGCAATTTTAACTTCTTTTCCGAGATTTGTCACATCTTTTCTATCTATTTAAAATTCAAAATCAGATATGCCAAAATTTATATAAATATTTATTCTAAATTCTAAACATATGCTAATATTTACTAACATGAAAGTGTAAATATTTTAGGCTTAAAGACAATTTGTAAATGGTTATATCGTTTGAAGTTTAAAGTGATATATGGCAGTGCAACACACGATTATGCAGCGATAGATTCGTTCCACCTTTGCATTTTTCATGTACGCTGAAAATGAAATGCAGGTGGTGCTCGGTACCCGCTGGTCGCTACTCGGTACCAATTTGAGCTCGCGCAGAAGAGCTTAGCTGCTTGAACTGCCACTTCATGCGCAAATGCGAAGAGCGACGCACCAGGGAAGAATCAAGAAGAAGCGAAACCTGCTGCTGGCTGATGGAACTGCTCGAAGCGGACGGACGGATGAGCAGTCCGACGTAGGACGAGCTGCTGCCGTCGTTCGTCGTGCTGCGGAACATGCACGGGACTGCCTCGAAACTCATCGCTCTCGCTTTTCGCCTCCCTTTCCAATTCGCTATTCCATTCAACTGAATAATTAAAGTCAGCTGAAATCTAAAATTAGATTAATTTAATTTAGAAAATTAAACTTCTTTCAAATCGCTCGGAGGAAATTTTGAAAAAGTTAGCAGAAAATTTTTAATTTCGAAAGTACCGAAAATTAATTAAAATTAATTTACTTCACCTTTAGAGAGGTAAAATTCACGGAAAAAAATAAATAATAAGGGGAAAAAATTTGTGAGAAAACAAAAATATTGCATGAAGGACGACGAATGAAACGCAAACGCTTAACGCGACGCGTACTTGTAGTGACGAGCGGTCGCGAATGCGTTTCAATGCGACCCACTTTCGCAAATTTTGTATATACTTTAGGGTTTTCGTGACGGTTCAGATCATCGTGGATCGGCGTAAATCGCCCGGTGGGTGTGAATCGACCCGACGATGTGGCTTTGAGGCTCGGCCCGGCTCGGCACGGCCAATAACTCAAACTTTACACACCATCATTCTATCGCAAATGACCAACGACTTTTCGGGTCATTTTAGATCGTTTTATAGGTCGTGAATTTAGATCACTGCGGATGACCCCCATTTTTTGGATTCATTTCATTGCCTTTTCACAAATTTTGCTTGTTAATCTGATCTTTTATAGCGCGTCTTTTTACACCGCGGCTTGCAACGCAGACTGCTGCATGCATGCACGATTGCATTTATGATATATGGCAGTTGCTTGCGTGACAGTTGCATGCAGCGCTGTATTTCGAGAGATAGCTGTATTTTCGGCGAACTGGACGACGTCTCACTTAAATATAAAGGGAAATATAAAGGAATAAATCGTTCATCTGCAACTGCACATAGCATTAAGTAGCGTTAATAGGTTGTCATACAGCTATGTTCTGCATTTTGCCTGTGCATGTGCATGTGCATGTATATAAATTATTTACATTGGTGCGCCTGTGTATGTTTTGTTTGATGATGTGTGCTTTTCGGTGTGGGTGTAGGTGTAGTTTGTAGAAAAGAAAGATTTTTAATTATTTTAATTAATTAATGATAAAAAAGCCGAAAAGAATTTAAATTCAAATCTTTGTGCGTAGAACCGCCGCATTTGTCAATTATTAAAAAATGAAAGGACGGGGAAAATTAAGGTGGGAGGGGGAGGTGAAAAACGTGATGCGATAAAAAAGCTTGCGAATGCAGAGAGGGCGAGAAGTGGCGAATTATCGAAGTATCGGATAAAGCACAAGTACCAACTAATCTTCTTTATTCAATGAACAGTTTTTGCCTTCTAATTTTATTGTAAACAATTAGTTTGAAAATGTTATTATTTATTAAATTTATCATTTAAATCCAAAAATTTAAATTATAAATTAAATTTTTTTTTTAAGGAATTTACAAATTTTTGTTTTTTCTTATCGAAATTCTTTGAAACAATTTTTTCTTGAAAGTTTTTTTAAAAATTGAAATAATTGAAATGGAATGACGTCACAATTTTATAAAAAAAATAAATAAACGAAATTCTTTCGATGAAAAATAAATTTACATTCTAATCAATTTTAGTAAAATGAAATTCAATAAAATTGCGCAATTTTTTTGGATTGATTGTTTCTTTTTTTCTCTAATTATTAATTATAATGTACCTTTTGGTGGGTCCATTAATTTTTCTCTGTTCATCTGCCCACATTGTGTTTTCGTTCGCTTTTTCCAACCGTCCACGTTACCTTTGTGTTTTTCATTTCTTTAACGGTAGTGTTCATCTTCGTTTCGCGTATTCTTTTTTTGCTTTCTTTGCTCCAGTCATTTAAGTAATATTTATAGGTTCCATCACAATAAAAATATCGTTTTTTGAAAAAGAATAATTATAAACTGATCAATGTCGATAGCACCAATTGTCCATCTGACAATTGCACGTGTGATTTCTAATGGATGACTGGTGCCAGGTGTGATTTGTTCAGGTCTTTGATAAAAGCAGTCTTTCCACTGTCCAAATCCATATATCAGTGGATCGTTCGTGCGTCAAAAGTCTTCTCTAACTAAACATAGGCGACGATATTTTTGATGTAGATTCGATGTTGAATACAATCATATGTTTTGTCTGCTCGGTATATAAAATGTCCCGGTTTTTCGCACGGGACAAATGCCAGGGAGTTCTTTGGTACAGAAATTGGCGATACAGGTGAATCACCAGCATCACTCGGATTTTTCTAATGTTTACTCCTGCGAGCAATGGAATGTCAGTATTGGCTCTACGAATTGAGCAACAACCCACTGAGCCATAATTCTTACCTCGGTTGAATGGATTGTTTTACAGTTCGTATTTAATATTCAGTTGGAAAAGATTTTTGGTTGGGAAAGAACAATTTTTTTTTAAATTTAAATAATTTAAAGTAACTTTTCAATATTTCAAATTTTAAAATTTAGCTTTTCAACAAAAAATTAAGGTATTAAATAATAAATTGAATCGGATAAAAATACATTTACCATTTACTTTTTTTTCCATTTACGTCTTTATTCTATCATTTAAAATTGAGATATTTTGAATAAAAATAAAAAATGGTGATTCCTTTTAAAAAAAAGTACCATCCATTTTAGATAAAAATTTACGTCAAGGAAATCGTCATGCAAAGTTCAGTTCTATTATTTCAGAGTTTTATTAGTCTTTTGGCGAACAGTGCCTCCAACTGTTTCAACTAGTGATTTCCGTGTGAGGACGCGCTGATTACCCCGAATTACTGTTTTGTAATTCTGACTTAATTCTGACTTACGAGTGTATAATATAATATGGTGTGCTGGAATAAAGATGAATAATGTACGCTTTTTATCACAATCGTTAAATTTATTTCAGTTACTCTACTTCACGTGAAAATAGCTAAATGGGTGAAAATTAAGCATATTTCTCATAGGTCTATGAAGCGCCATGGAAGATTCGTTTTTCTTGTGCATCTAATTCTTTTCGTATTTCATTTGGAAGATCTGAACCAACCTGAAAAAAAATTATAAAATGTTTAGGGTAACGGTATAATTACGACTATTTAAGCCATATTAAAGACGGAAATTTCGGGTATTGGATTGTAAGAAGGATCCAAGGAAATAGGAATTACCTGCTCTTCGAAGAAGTGTCGAACTTCTTTAGCATCCTCACGCCAGTAGTCCAACGGAACACTCATTAATTCATCGATTTTAATATTTTTAAGGCCTTGAAGATTTATCGATTCAGGTGTGGGTACATAGCCAATAGGTGTTTCTTTGGCAATCGATTTGTCACCGTCCAAGCGACGAAGGATCCAGTCAATTACACGAATATTTTCACCATATCCAGGCCACAAAAACTGCCCATCTTTCCCTTTACGGAACCAGTTCACATGATAAATTTTTGGTACCTTAAAGTTTAACTTGTGAAAAATAATCGAAAATTCAAAAATTAGAAAATATATAAATAAAAATTAAAAAGTATAACTCTCAGATCGTTGGATACGTTTGTTGAGACACAATGCAAATTAACCTTACGGTTGTCCTTATTCAGAGAAATCCAGTGCTGAAGGTATTTACCAAAGTTATAACCCATGAAAGGCCGCATAGCCATTGGGTCATGCATAACAACCTTGGCTTTAAATTCAGCAGCTGCTGTTGCTTCCGATTTCAAACATGCTCCAGTGAAAATTCCATGGGTCCAAGAGAAAGTTTCGAAAATCAGTGGTACACCTTCAGGTCTGTAAATAATAAAAAGTCATTCTAAATTCATAGAAAAAAAAGCAAAAAATTTTTACCTTCTGCCACCAAATATAAATGCATCAATAGGCACACCGTGCGGGGATTCCCAGTCCGGATGGATAATTGGACATTGTTTAGCAGGACAAGTGAAACGCGAGTTCGGATGCGCCGCAGGTGTCTTATCGCCAATATGCCATAAATTTCCTAGCCAATCAGTTATGTCCACATATTTGTCCTCAAAAAACCAAATCAAGGTATGAAAAGATAAAAAGTATGAATGACAAAGGCCAATAGTTTATAGCACACACGATAGAAATTAAAACTGCAGAAACCTAATTATAAAATCGAATGCGGTGAATGAAATACTTTAATTTCGTCTTCGAGTCCTTCCCAGAAATACTCTCCATTAGCAGTTTCAGCAACATTGGTGAAAATACTATTTTTTTGGAAAGAAGCCATAGCCATAGGATTCGTTTTCATTGATGTACCTGGTGCAACACCAAAGAAACCAGCTTCAGGATTGATACCATATAGTCGACCGTCAGTACCAAATTTCATCCAAGCAATATCGTCACCTTAAAAGCGAATAATTAAGGATTATCATAAAATGAATTTGTACTACTTCTTTATTGCTATAAATCAATTTTCTTAACGAAATGAAGCGAAAGAAATTTCGGGATTTTGAGGCCCATACATATTTCCAAATAATTTTCTGCAGTCAGTGGAAGCAGCCAAAGCAGAAGCAGCGAAGAGAAGAGTCGTTCAAAAATGATGGCTGACTTTTGAAAGTCAAAATAGCAAAAATTGAAACAAAGATACTTCCAAATAAAACAAAAGATATGTAAAGTCGTACCGACACATCTAACTTTCCATCCAGGTAATTCAGGCTGAAGCATAGCTAAATTCGTTTTACCGCATGCAGATGGAAACGCTGCAGCAATGAAATATTCCTTGCCATTTGGTGGTGTTACTCCTGTAATAAAGAAAATTGCCCATTTTCTAAAGACAGTAATTAGGATATAGTATTTATGATAATAAAGGATAGCGATAAATATAAAAATATTTACCCATGATAAGCATATGTTCAGCAAGCCACCCTTCATCATGAGCGATGTTTGAAGCGATTCTTAGCGCAAAGCATTTCTTCCCTAGCAAAGAATTACCACCATAACCCGATCCAAATGACCAAATTTCTCGATCAGCAGGCCTATGTGCTATTAAGACACGCTCCGGATTGCATGGCCAATGATTTATAACTTTCTCTAAAAATCAAGCTCTGTTTTCTTTTTAAAAATGAACCAGAATTTAAAGCACCAAAATTTACTTAAGATGTTCCTTCAAACTATAATAATTACAGGTTTGCGGAATGGATACATGACAGGGATTTATTTAAAAAATACTGGTGATCTATAAGATTACCACAGAATAACTCCCTAGTAAAAGTTTCTATATACATTAACAGACAGCGGAGTTAGCCAGAAATGATCTTACTTATTTACTTACAGCAAAAAAAGATTAAGAAAAATTTACGTTTGACAGGTCTCGGTAGTCCAACGGAATGAATGCATCGCACAAAATCATTCTCACCAAGAGCTTCCCATACCGCAGGTGATACTCGTGTCATTATTCTCATACACAACATTACATAATTCGAATCTGTTAACTAAAATATTCTTAAATTTAACAGTTTTGCACAAAATATTGTCCCCATATGTTTTTCACCTTATCAAAATAAGTAAAATTCATCCTTAAATTTTTCATTATTTCCTGAAATTTTGAATTTTCGAAAATAAATTTCGCCAATGAAAAATCAAATTAAACCCATTTACATTTATACGAAAAAGAGAAGAGAAATTTTTCATCCAGTGGACACATCTACTCATCCTAAGTAATAGTAATTTCCGAACTAACGTGAATTTTTGCACCATTTTTCACTGCAACACTGGCAGCTACTGGGAAATTATAATTAAAGTTATACTTTTTGGTTTACTTTTTTATTTATTTAATTTACTTTCAACTTATTTTTTCCATCCGATTAAAAACAACCCATCTTTTTACCCTCTAACGAAGGGATCCCATCCTAGGACTCAATGGCGCCCTAATCCAGAAAAATGGTGGATACTTTTAAAAAATTAGATGTAACTACTGATTCTTTTAATAGGCGGGCCGTCGCTATTTTAATCCGAAAATTAATTTCTTACTTGAACACCAATTTTTGATAAGGAACCACCGATCGGTCCCATCGAAAATGGTATTACAAACATTGTTCGACCTTAAATTAATTTTTTCTTTTGACAATTTTTTTAGAAATTTCCCTCCACATTTTCACTTTATAATTGCTTTTTCGTCGTTTAAAATTGTCTTATCTTATCAGATCCATTGGCCCATAATGCTCGTGCTATTTTAATCTTTTCTAATTTTTCCAAATTTCGAATCAATTTTTTGCAAATAAAAAAAATTATTGAAGAATGGTTGCAAAAGCAAAGCTCCCTCAGATTTCTATTTTATATTCATTTTTCTTATTTCTCTCCAAAAAACCCAAAAACTTCAGCAGGAATTAACTTTTATCGATCCCTTTTAAATTCTCTCTTAAAAATTCTCCTTCAATAAATTGATTATATATATAAAAATGTAAACAACGGAATTCTGTTGCTCAATGATCACTTATTATCTATTATTTTTCACAGTTTTATAAAAGTTTTGGAGAGTTTATTAGTCCGCGATAAGCGCTTTATTTTTTGTGAAATATGTTCAGAGTTACGACGAATGATGCGGGTTATGTTGAGTTATTCTGCAAAAAGGTTATTAGAGAGTTCGTGCAGAGAAAACGAGTTTTTAGTTTTACGTACCAGCCATACATCCTGGAAAACGAGAATCCAGTTCGTTCCCAAATATTTCAGGTGACATCCAATGGCCCATCAATGGTTCAGCGCCATCAGCAACATGACATACTGTTTGATATTTGTCGGGTGTTACCATCCATGTTTTACCTTCCACTCGAGCAACATCCTTTAAATACACCAAATTAATCCATAATGTTTCTCAACATATGACATATTTTGAAAAAATTTTGAGTAATGAAAGGATGAGAGGCTATAGACCAGTTAAATTAAGAAGTTCCTGTTTTTACGCTTACTTCTTCATAATAATTATTTGAACAAATGTTGTACATTTCTCCCACTTAATTTTACTATAATACACAAGAAAACTGCACAAAAAATTTCACCTTAGGATCAGTCCGACATAAATAATTGTTTTCATACGCTTTAAGTTTTGTTAACATTCCACGTTCAACAAGTTTATGGATAATTTCATCAGCCTCGTGCTGTGAACCATCACATATATGAATACCACGAGGATTCATTAATTGCACTTTTTCAGCGACAAATTTCTGGACATGACGAGGTAGTTGATCGAAATTTCCCTTGAAATTAATTCTTAAACTAAATTTTTAGAAAAATAATTTTTCCATAATCTATTGGTTTGTTTTACTTGTTCACCGCAATTACGATAAAATCCATTTCACAGTATCGCATCAACCAGCTTTAGCAAATCATAAGGCATTTTAACCCACTGAAGTGTCAAAAGTCAAGCTCATAAATGAAAGAAAACAACCAACCGAGAGTATAGGTATGTGTCCAAGTTTTTTCACACAAATTTCATTGACGACAAAAAAGCTGTCGTCTTCAATGGTTTTCAGTGATTGACTCTCCATGTCTGATTATTGCCTAAAATATTGAAAAAGTAACAAAATGTTTGTACAAAATGGATGGCAAATTGCAAGAAAACAACTGTTTTACTCTTTGCAAAAAAACTAATAAACATAAAAAGATAAAATAATAAACAAAACAATTAAAACAAAGCGAATATTTGGAGAGACAAAAAATTTCAGGTTAAAGGTAATGATCGAAATTTGTATCAGTCAGTTACACTTTGCAGATTTTCTCATTCAGTTTAAATACCAAAAATACCTATCAATTTGTGCTAAAATGATAGGCCTGGTTTCATGAATTTCGTAGAGCACAAATGATAGATGAAAAGGCTGAACAATTATAAAAATAGTACGAAGCTTTTCTAAAGCCTCATTAAACCTCTCTGTACCATTTTTGTAGTTCAAAAACGAAATTTGCTTATTGAGAATTTTAAAAAAGGCTGTACACATTTTATAAACTGCACATAAATTTTTTAAAAATTTCTTTAAAATTCAGAATTGCAGCATAGATGGTTGCTTTAAATTGCGTTGGGCATCACGGCTTCACAATTTTCATTAACAGATTCACTCCTCTTAGCCAGGTCACTGAATCTCTAATGCCTACACTAGCAATCGTACAGTACCATTCGACCAACGCAAAACTGGTGAACGATGATTATTTATTTTTAAGTTTAAATAAAAGTAGCAAAAGAATGAATAAATAAAATAGCGATGGGCTTCAGAACATTTGGATGTTTAAAATTTCCGAAATTTAAATTCTGATTTGAACAAAATTTTTAAAAATCGTAATAAATCAATTTTTATATCAATCAAATCGAACACTGCTGTCGTCCATCATTCCTTCTTTATTTCATTAAGCCATTAACCAAACAACGACAAATGCATCCAACCAATCTATCTACGGCTGAATTCTCAACAATTCACCTACTTGTAAAATAGAATTCTCCAAATTTCCTAGCATTTTCGTATCGACAAAGTTCAACTAAGCAACTTTTTTATTGAAATAAAGTATATTTGTTTATTAACAAGTCGGATATTAAGAAAAAAAACTAAAAACCCTCCCCCCATATACATTAAATTAAACTTTACATTTAAAAAGTAAAATTTTTCATATTACTTTTGCTGATTCAGAAAAACCAAATAGAACAATAGTGATGCGACTGTATTTATGACAAAACATGCAGTATTAATGAAAAAACAAAAATATTGAACAAATTCAAGAAAACATAGATATTACTGTAAGTCGATTAAGCTATTAAAAATAAACGAGAGAGGCTCGGAAAGTAAAAATAAATAGGGATATATTACGGAGGGAATGCGGGATGCGGGATAACCGAGTGGCTGTCGTTTAGATAATCTTCTTCGACAAGATAGGCCATCGAAAATCCGGGCGGCGTTAAAAATCCACCTGTGCTTCTATCACCAAATGACTCCCTGGCAAGAATGCCTAAGCGTATTAAGGCCAGTGGAACAACCCTAACCAGAAATGGTGAACAACCGCCTTTTTTTAGTTTTATAGAGCATGAATTATATTCTCGTTAAATGCGACTACAGTCAATGTTACCAAGCAAGCAAACACACCACAAATATCGATGTAAGGCGGAACAAAAATTTTTAAACGAACATTCCTCACAAACGATAATATTAAATATTACAAGTAAAACATTGCAAAACATATTTATAAATATTGCCAAAATCTGCGAATCGATGAAAGTTTTTGCAAATAAAATATAAAATTTGAAATAAAATTTTATTTATGGACATTTTTTATTTAAATTATTCCAAGAAAAATTCAATGAATAAATTTCTTTTCCGCCGTAAAATTCTAAGAAATTTACGAATTTATTTCGTTGTTTGACATATTTTTCTATATTTTATAGCATTTTTGGTGAAACTCGCTTCACTGATTATTAGGAATAGAATCGTCGTAGAGGAAAACTCCAATCTCAACCGATCTCAGTCGACTATGCTCTCAGCCACAGTTATATGGAATGTTAGGATAAGCCGCATCTGCTAGAAAGCCACGTGAAGTACAACAGCACAGGGTTCCTTTAAATCATTTATTTATTATTTTTTTGTAAAAACTGAACTAAAAATTTCACGAAAATTTCCATCCGCTTTTGTTTTTGTTTTATTGAAAGGATAAGCGGGTGGTCCTTATGAGTGCTCACAATACCATCTCGAGTATCAAAGTCCGAATCCCGCTTCCGGAAGGAGTAAACTTGTCATCCGAGAAACCCGACTGGTTCTGGCGCCTCACATGTCCTCCCATCGCCAGAGCAAAGCTAACCAGAAATGATGGCGCTAACCACTTCACATTCCATTGACACGGAAAATCAATGGAAAAAAAGGCGGAGTTGTACGTTTGCTGGATGAATGTGCATATTCGTTTGCTCGTGCAGGAAATTTATGAATGGCGTTGCTGAACGACGAAGGATGAAGTTGATTTTTAGTAGTGAAATATGGATTTAGACGAATATAAAGAAATTCTGGATTTGTGAGAGACCAAATCTAGGAATAATCAAAAAGAGAGAGATTTTAGGGGAAACAATTCAGTAAAATCCAGAAATATATTTACGCAGTCTTTTTTCAACTGTGTGTGATTTGCGTATTTGCGTAAAACATTGATAAATGCGTCACTCCTAAAAGTCAAATCTTCTCGCTGATTACCAAGTTGAAATTATAAAAATTTTTTTCTCCAAATGATCCGTTTTTCTTGTCTTAAATATTAAATCTTATTTTAAATTTTATCAACACCTATTTTATTAATAAACAATAAGTCAATTGGTCTCATTTCATATTAAATTTATTTGCTATTTTATAAAAGGAAAAGGGTAGTGATAAGGATCAAGTGATATGGCGATGCCACTACACCACACTGATTATGGAAATTTTTGATGAAAGTTAAGCTGCACTAAAAGTAAAGTCGGAGCAGTGTCAGGCGCCCACTTTCTGATGAATAAATTTTTTATAATTTCAATTAAAAAAACATTGTAAATTTTGTTCAACAAATTGTAAATTGTAAATGATTTTTTCAAAAAATAAGACGACGATTATGGAAATTCATTAAAATTGAATAAAGAAATTAAAACTTATCGCAAAACATATCGCATTCACTTCGAAATAAAATATAAATAAAATCACTTTTTAAGCTAAAATGACTAATTAAAATTAAATACAAAATCTTTTTATTTTATTATAAAATTATATTAATTTATTATATTATATTAATTTTATTTAAATATTATGCAAGCTTATTTAAATTTCATTTCATTTTCACTTTTCTTCATTAATGAACGAAATTCATAAATAATAAATATAATGCAGTTTGAGGGAAGATAATTTTCCGAATTTTGCTCTCCGAACTAATTCGAGTTTAAAAGCATTCGCTACTTGAACTACTTCTCTTTGTTTGCTTAGCTTCACTTGCTGCCATAACAACTGCGAGTTTTGGATTTTACTTTCAATAGGTTTAAGCTTATCACTCAATGAATGGGGGAATAGCAATCCACGAATTTGAAGGCTTAAATATATACGGAAGATCCATGATCCGCAACTCCTAACTGAGCTAATATTTAGTAATTAACTTGATAAATTTATCAAATTCATGAATAAATTAATAAAGTAAAATTTTAAACTTAAATTTTATATATTGCAAATCTATAAATTTAACAACTTGTTTTTCAAAATTTTAACATTAAAAACAAATCGCATTCTCATCTTTTTGCTTGATAAATCTTCTTTCCAACTTATTTACAACTTTTTCAAACATTTTGTCGCTAAAAAATATAGAATTTAATTATTGAAAATTTCGCTAAAAAAGAAAGTGTGGTGAATACGCTTTGGGCATAAATTGGGCATAAATGTCTCAGCACTAGCAAAAGTAGTCATTAAAAGTGGAATCCTGTTGGTGCTAAAGAACTCGCCTGTACTTCTACTTCCAAGTAATTCTCTCTGGCGACACTCTAGTAAATTGGCCAAGTTTATTAGATTAAGGCGACTCTTTCTCGATTAAATCATTTCAAAAACTATCGTTAAATTCATCTTTTTAACAGATTGGAAGAATACTTATCAGGGAAATATTTTTCAAATATCTTTTTGCGTTTTGTATAATTTATTTTGCAAAAACGAATAAATTCGAGAAATAAATAAGAAAATAGGAAAATATTTAAAATTTTTAAATTTTTTCAAAACGTTTCTTTGAAAAACTTTGAAAAAATTGATATTTAAAAGTTAATAAGTGAAATAGCTTGCTCCGCTGGCTCCCTTGGCGATGGAGATACAGGTAGGTCACCAGCAACATCCGACCAATTTAATTATTCTCTTACAAACATTTCTCGCGGGTTTTTCTTTCTAATCTACTCTACTTTTTATTAAAAATTTTCAAACTTACTTGTTATTATAAAATAAAAAATCTCATTGGCAGATTTTTCTTAAATTTAATAAATTTTCTAAGACCAGTAAAATAAAACCAAATATTTATAACACGATTGGAAACCAAAGTAATCGCTCGCGAAGCAAAATGACATGGACTAATTCATTTTTTATTGGCTATTTTATTATTATTTTTTTATTATATCTTTGTTGTTATAATTATCCTCGTTCATTTTATTAATATTTTATGGTTAATATAATATTATTATTGTTATAGCTGCTTTATCTAGTAATATTTAATTTCTCAAAAGATCGATTTCCAGCATGAATTTCAGATGAAATTACGCTTTTTATTAGCCTTTAAAGTCCGTCTACTTTTTTTAAATTTACTTTTGTTAAGAATAAAATCATTTATTTTTGTTTTACATGTATTTTATTTTATTCATTATTTTTATTCTAAAAATGAAAATATTTCTTTATTAATTTTATTTGACATCATTTATTCAATAAATATTTTTAAATTAATAATGTAGGTAATGATTATTAAAGACATGGATTCCTTTATTTTTCTCTTCAAGTTTTCACTGTTTTCATTAATTTATGCACTGACTGCTATAAATTAATTAAGT